TCTTATTAGGCCTGGAAAACTAGGTAGTTGAGGATTATGGAAAAAATTTAAAATACAGATAGACCATGTCTTACATTAATAAAGCAAAATTATCTAAAGCAGTTGCATTTCACTTTCTAAACTGTAAATTATATATCAGACATAGATTTATATCTAGAATATATAAAACTCTTACAACTTGGCAGTGAGAAGGAAAATAGTACTTAAAAAAATAGCAAAAGATTTGAACAGGATGAATGTGATTTGGAAGTAAGTATACGAGAAGATGCCCAACTTCATTAGACATCAGGGAAGTGCGAATTAAAACCACAGTGCGATACCATGACACAGCCACTACAATATAAATGATAATTCCAAGTGTTGACAGCAATGTGGAGAAAACAGATCTCGCACTGATGGTGATCTACAGGCATACCTCAGAGAGATACAGGTTCAGTCTCAGACAACTGCACTAAAGCGAATATCTGAATAAAGTAAGTCACATAAAGATTTGGCTTCTGGTGCCTATAAAAGCTATATTTACAATATACTATAGTCTTTTAAGTGTGCAACAGCATTATGTCTAAGAAAACAATGTGTGTACTTTAATTTAAAAATACTTTATTGCTAAAAATGCTAATGATCATCTGAGCCTTCAGCAAGTCATAATCTTTCTGCAGGTGGAGGCTCTTGCATATTAATGGATGCTGACTGATCAAGGTGATATTTTCTGAAGGTAGGGATGGCTCTGGGAATACGTGGGTCACTATAAAAGTTTTCAAACAGGCTGTGTTATGGTCCATTATTTCACTTACAGGAAGCACAGTTGACAGCGTCCTTTCTGATTCACTTGTGTGTGTTTCAGCTTGCTCAGCTGCTCATTGTCACTGGGAAGGCTTCATTTATTTCCATCTGGGCAGGTTTTACATTTCTTGATTTTTGTGTATCTCAAAACTTTCATAATGACCCACATATCTTAAAACAAGACAGTGGTGTAATTTGCCTCATTGATTTACTTTTCCTTTCACAACAGATTTCTCTGTAGTATGCAATGCTATTTGATAGCATTTTACTCACAGTAGAACTTCTTTCAAAAGTGAAGTCAGTCCTCTCAATCCCTACCACTGCTTTGGCAATATAATATACTAAATCTTTTGTTGTCATTTCAGCGGTGTTCATAGCACCTTCACCAGGACTAGATTCCATCTCAAGGAACCATTTCTTTTGCTGACCCATAAGAAACAACTTTTCCTCTATTAAAGCTTTGTTATGAGATTGCATCAGTTCAGCCATCCACTTCATCACATCATCAGCATCCAATTCTAGTTCTACTATTTCTCCCACATCTGCAGTTACTTCCTTCATTGAAATCTTGAACCCCTCAAAGTCATCCATGAGGACTGGAATCAACTTCTTGCAAACTCCTGTCACTGTCAATATTTTTACCTTTTCCCACGAATCACAAATGGTATCTAGAATCCTTTTCAGAAGGTTTTTAGTTTGTTCTGCATAGATCCATCAAAGGAATCACTACCTATGGAAGCTACAGCCTTACAAAATGTATTTCTTAAATATGACTTAGAAGTCAGAATTACTCTTTGATCCATAGGTTGTAGAATGGATATCATGGTAGCAGAGAGAAAAATATTAATCTTATACATCTCCTTCAGAGAGCTTGGGTGTGTAGACGCATTGTCAATGAGAAGTAATACTTTGAAAGAAATCTTTGTTTCTGAGCAGTAGGTCTCAACAGCAGGTTAAAAATATTCGGCAAACATGCTGTAAATAGATTTGCTGTCATCCAGGCTTTGGTCCTTGTATAGAGCACAGGCAGAGTAGATTTAGCATAATTCTTAAGGGCCCAAGGATTTGGGGAATGAAAATAAGTATTGGTTTCCACTTAATGTCACCAGCAGCATTAGCCCCTGAGAAAACAGTCAGCCTATCCTTTGAAGCTTTAAAGCCAGGCATTGACTTCTCTTTACCTTTGAAGATCCTAGGTGGCATCTTCCAGCAGAATGCTGTTTCGTCTATATGGAAAATCTGTTGTTCGTGTAGCCATCTTCTTCAATTAGCCACACCTGGACAACTTACTGTAGCTTCTATATCAACACTTGCTCTTCACCTTGTTATGTTATGGAGATGAATTCTTTCTGTAAACCTTGTGAACCGACCTCTGCTATCTTCCAGCTTTGCTGCCTCAGCTTTCTCACCTCTCTGAAACTTCCTAAAATTGGAGAGAGTTAGAGCCTTGATCTGGATTAGACTTTGGCTTAAGGGAATGTCGTGGTTGATTTGATTTTCCATTCAGACCAATACAACTTTCTCTTTATCAGCAAGGAGGCTGTTTTGTTTTCTTATCATTCAAGTGTTCCCCGGAGTAGCACCTTAATTTCCTTCAAGAATGTTTCCCTTGCATTCACAATCTGGCTGACTCAAAACCCCTGGTTTTTGGTCTTGTTTTCCAACAAGCTTTCTTCACTTGGCTTAATTATTTCTAGTAGTAGATTTAAAGTGGAAAAACTCTTTTACTTGAACACTTAGAGGACATTGTAGGATTGGTTATTAATTGGCCTTCAATATTTTTTCTCAGGGAATAGTAAGGTCTGAGGAGAGGGAAAAAGATGGGGAAATGACCAGTCACTGGTCAAGAACACGTACAATATTTATTTAGTTCCCTGTCTTATATCAGTGGCACACCAAAACAAAATAATAGCATGAAAGTTCACTAATCACAGATCACCAGAGAGATATAATAATAATGAAAAGTTTTCAAATTTGTGAGAATTATGAAATGTGGGAGACACAAAGCGATCACTCACTATTGGAAAAATGGTGCTGAAAGACTGGCTCCATGTAGGGTTGCGACAAATGTATGTACGTATGCCAAAACTCATCAAATTATGCAGTTTAAATAGGCATAGTTTATTGTATGTGAGTTATACCTCAATGAAGCTGACAAAAATAGTTCATTGTGCCTGTTTGAGATAGAAATCACTTAAAAGATGCTACCTTTGAAGTTACAGTATTTCTGAATGCATACGACCTGAGAATAAGAAAATAGGTTGGGGCTTGGCGCCTGTTGCTCAGTGGCTAAGGCACCAGCCACATATACCAGAGATGGTGGGTTTGAATCCAGCCCGGGCCCACCAAACAACGACAACTACAACCAAAAAATAGCTGGGTGTTGTGGCAGGTGCCTGTAGTCCCAGCTACTTGGGAGGCTGAGACAAGAGAATCGCTTAAGCCCAAGAGTTGAAGGTTGCTG